CCAAAAACGGGATGTAATGATCAAAGAAAGAAGATACATCTGACTGGGAGCACGAAGGGGTTATATACACGTTGGTAATAATTGTCCTTTTATATCGGGAAAACCTAGGATGACAACGAACGGATAAACAGTCAATACATTTTTCAGAATAGCTGAACACCACTTCAGACTTGTCACACCAAGAAGTGTTGATGTACGTTGCCACACCGCCTCCAGTTTTCTTACTTCTATGTTGTCTATCCTGCCGGTAGCAATCGAAGCCCTCTATCTGCAAAAGAGCATCATCGACGTTTTGATTTAACCAGATTTATTCTATGCATACGATGCGTGTGTTCAGTGAAGAAGTTAAATCCGAGATCTTTGCTAGCGAGACGACGAGCGAACAAAATGTAGCGCAGCCAATCAAAGGGCGCGCGTGAGCGTGAGCTGTAGTTGGAAGTGAAATACACTGGAGTCGCATGGTGCACTGAACGACCAATTTGGGTGTGTGAGGAAGAAAACACACTTCAACGTTTAGTAAAACTAGAACATGAAGTGAAACATGAATGACAAAGGAGTTACTATACCTCTGACCCGCGACGAATGTTTGACATATTGCAAAGTTCACGTATTGACGAATGAACTGGCAATACTTCGCGGGGTGACCATCAAATGGTGTCAGTTCTACTAGTATAAATAAACAAAGTAAATGAATGTACTTTAATTTACTTTTTGAATGTAAAATTGTACAATCAACTTTAAGGAAGGAGACCGCGGCCAAATAAATGCTGTCTGCTAGAGAACATAAATGGGAAGATCAGTAGCGATGAAGCGGTCCGAACCCGGGTCCTCCGGGACAACATTTGGATGAACGTAACCACTTTAACACAAACGCCTTTGGCGCGCTGATGTTGACATAGGTGTTCGTTCATGGTTTTATGAGGGCTTTTTTAAAGGAAGAGGAATATCGGTCGGAGGTGCTGTTGAGCTGTGATGACCGGTCTTTGCACGCTTCACCTACCTGTTTTATTTGCTGTCTAGATAACTTGAGCTCGTGCTGAAATTCAGAAACCCGTAGTTCAAAGATATCAATACCATTTACATGTGAATTAACACATGCAACAGCATTGGCAGGACTAGCAAACCTAACATTTTCTAAAGAACCAAAATGAAATTCATCTCCCCCTCCAAGAGATTTGCCGGGTTAATTCCTGTTGATTTCCAGGTTCCTTGGTTTGTCTTCTAGGCATCTTCGATAAAATTTTCTCGTCCACCTTCTATTTTAGTAGTGGCCGTCCATTTGCATTGTATTGTATTGTATAACTTTTGCAAGCACTGGAGCTCATATTTCAGTGAAAAGGTCATATACGCTAACCGTCACAATGTATATAATCAACGGGGAGAAAAGTTTCTACAGACAGAGACATTTCATAACCCAAGGTTAAGACAAAGTTCACTTATCGTCCGCTCTTTGTTTATGAGTAGACGAGCAAGATACGGTATACGTGAGTTGCGGTAAGCGTTAATTCGAGATGAAATTTGGTGGAATTAGGAGCGTGTTGAATGATGGAAACGACAAAGTGTCAGTCCCGCATACAATGGGTGGTCAGAATCTGTGAGAACCATCTCAACAAATTTCACACAGGAAGTTACGTGATACTCTGAAAGCTTTACAGCTAATTCCTTCACAGGAATAGAAGAGACGACCAATAATGGTTAGACCGCGGCGTAAGACGTTGAAATCCTGTTTTTCCTGGCTTACCAGGAAAAATACTGGTGAGCAATAAAGTAATATGGGGAAAACACACTGATAAACAAAGGTAAAAATAACTGACTAGGATGCACGAAACTGCCTGAGCTTTCGAATTTGAAATGATAGGCGTCGCAGTTTACCACTACAGTTATGGATGTGGGTTGACAAATGAAGATTGCTATCTATGGCTACACCTAGATATTTGACAGAGTTTACCCTGGATAAAGGATTCTTATTAATTACTGTGGGGTCTGTCGGATATGGGGAGCAAGCAAAACTATATGAACACTCAACACATTTACTGGGGTTCAGGGTTAGCCCCGATGAGGAGGAAAATGACTGAATTTAATCAAAATTGTTGGTGAAAGAACTTGGACCAAAATAAGAATAAATGAGCTGGCACAACACAACGTGATCTGCATATTTCAAAATTCGTGCGGGAGAAACACAGGGAATATCACAAATATAAGTGGAAAATAAGTATGGGGATAACACAGCTCCTTGATGGACCCCGGAGTTCTTGACTAGGGATATCGATGTGGCCTTCCCCAATCTAGTGGTTTGCACCCAATCGGAAAAATAGTTGGATAACCAAGCTAACGACTGCTTTGGGCATTCAAACGACTCCAGTTTTTGTAACAGCTTAGATCAAGGAATGGAATCAAATGCAGAAGAGTAGTCCAGAAAGACACACATAAATTACTTAGAGCTATTCAAAGATTTAGTGATGAAATGAATGAGGGTGGAGACTGCGTCCAAGGTCGATTTATTAGGCTTGTAAGCAAACTGTGACGGATCACTGGGAATGTTTATAGACTGCTGAAGGCGTTTGAGGATGGCATTTTCGGTCAATTTAAGAGCTGAAGATGTTATTGCTATGGGACGAAAACCTTTGGAGAGGATACAAGATTTGAATGCTTTGGGGTTTGGTATGATTGTGACCGGACTACAACAGTCGGGGATAGCAGAATTGTGAAGAGATTCATTTACAATGGAGGTAATTACCCCAGCTAGGGAAGCGGCACCAAATTCGAAGAGAGCTGAATGTAAGTCATCCGGACCTGCAGCATAGGACGATTTGCAACTTTTAAAAAGTTTTAACACATCACAATATGAGAATAGTTCTACGTTACAAACATTTTGTGACGAGTAGGCAGGAAGAATGTCTGGTGACTGGCGCAGGAATGCGGCATTGAGATCATCAGCATCCACATCCAGCCTCGACCGTAAGTTCTTCCTTCCGCAGAGAAGTCTTATACCTTGTCACAGGTGTTTACTGTTTCCAGTCCTCAGAACTCGATCAGAGAATAATGCGTTCAGTCTCTTTACTTCAGGTTTGATAAGCGTGGGCAAATGCCTAACAGCTGAAGTATTGTGAGACTTGTACGCACGTTCCTCTTGTCGTCGTAGCGAATTGAGTAGGGAGAGTTCATTCTTCCGTTGGACTCACAGAGACTTTGAACAGGGCAGCAGTAATTAAAAATGGCATTGATTGTTTAGGTGAATAAGGGGACACATGTGAGCAGAGAAGAAGATGATGAAAACCATAGGGAAGCCTGTCTGAGAGATTCATTCAGGAGAGAAACACGTGTAGGTGAGAAGTTACCAAAACGAAATGTGATGTGCTCAGATCGGGAGAAAGATTTGTATGCACTGTGTGAATAAACTTTAGGTGGAACTAAGAGTAAGCAGTAGTCACTGGAATAAATAGGAACTTTAAGTGCTAAGGAAAAAAGGGTTGAGTAGTTAGTAGTTACTCTGTCCAGTATAGAGTTACCTCTTGTGGGAGAGTGACAAAGATCTGTCATAACCAGTGATAAAAGTGGATAAGTGCTAGTATGGTTGAAGTCACCAACGATTATGCGCAGTTTAACATCTAAAAGTGGGGCAAAAAAGTACGAATGAGTGGAAGAAAGGCATACGGTCGGACTGTATACAGTAAAGGGTTATATACAAGTTAGTCAAAATTGTGTGAGTAAAACGGGAAAGTCTAGAGTTACACTGTATAGTTACGCACTCAATACCCTTTGAGCAGCACTGACAAACAACATGGGACTTGCCATACCAGGAAACGCTGACATATGTGGCAACACCCCCTGCGGTCTTTTTTCCTCCGGTTCCACGATCCTGCCGGTAAACATGAAAACCGTCTATTGACACTACAGAGTCATTCAAATCCTTATTCAACCAGGATTCTTGAACACAGACTGCACACGTGTTCGTATGAATTCTTGATCGGAGGACACTAGTTAAATCCGACATTTTGGGAAACAGGGACCGAGAGTTGGTGCTGACCAATGAGGGGACAGTCATCTTTGACAGAGGGGTGCGATTAAGGGCAACTTGCCATCATGCACGCTTGCTTTTTTTGGTCCAGCCTGGATGTTGCGAAACTGGAGTCGTACAAACCGCTGAACCATCGAATTATGTCCTGGCGCGTTTGAAACAAATAATATCATCCCGAGAGTAACTACGGCGCATGATAGTGAGTGAAAAGATGAAAGTTACCACAATGTGACGGAGAGCGTGTAACTAGCGCAGCCAATAGAAACCAATCGACTGAGCAGTGAACAGCGGTTAAGCTTCCGTGGCGAAGTTCAGGATGAAACGCGAATAGTACTGGAGACAACCCACGATGAACCTGAGTTGGTTTTGGTCTCTAGGTGGTTCGAGTTCAGTCAATGGATGGAAGCGACTTGGATCAGGACGGTAGCCTTTTGCATCACCTGTGAAGCCCAAGAATTCCAATTCGGGTGAATTGAACATGCATTTGGAAGCGTGAATCGACACATTCTTTTAAGCGAAACGCTCTAGTAGTATGAGAAGTCTATCTTCATGCTCGGCCTTCGTTGCACTAAACAATCACGTCGTCATGATGAGCTAACACACCATCGATTCCGCGAATGACTTCGTCAATAGCCGCCTGGAATATGCCTGAAGAAGTGTGGAGACCAAACGGTAGGAAGTTGTATTGATATAACCCTACGGTGTGTTGATGGGGTGACTTGTCGGCAGACTGGAGCGAGAGGAATCTGGAGGTACTCATCAACCAAGTCAATCTTCGAGAAGCGGTGTAATGCTTTCATGAAATCGTCCGGTTTCATGGTGGTAGTTACACACTTTCGTAACCGCGAGTTGAGGGTTGACCGGTAATCGCCACAAATTCGTGGTGTTTTGCCGTCACTTTTAATCGCGATCACGAATGGCGTGATCGGGTGATTATGCCGTCGCGCTCCATTTTCTCAAGGGCCTTCAACACGCCTTCACGTTAGCCATAATGGATTAGGCGTCGTTTCAAGAAAATGGGCTCTCCGCCAACTTCCGATTTGACTGGCTGCACATCCATGCCTCCTGTATTGTTGAAACATTTCACGATCAGGCGCTGTAAACGAGTGTGCACATTGGGCATAGAGCTTGTATGGAGTGACACAGAATGGTTCAATGCACGAATGGCGGTTAAGCCAAGTATGGATGGACTGTTTTTGGCAATTAGGAAGCGAATGGGAACAAGGCGATGTTCTGTGGAATGTACAATCAACAAAACCTCATCAATCAATGACAATTTGTGGTCAGTCACACCAAGGATTCGCACAGATGTCGGACGGATTTCAGCTTGGGGACAGATTGAGCGAAGTACTGCAGTAGAAATAATAGATTCCATGCTTCCCGTGTCAACATTGAATTCGTGCGTTGTACCGGACTGTAGTGTCACATCTTGTATAGGAATTGGGTGCATTATCTTTTGGATCGTAGAGAGAGCACAAAGTTTGTGTCATTCGCGGCCGTTGGCTGTGCAAGATTGCAACGGGGCTGTTTACACACCCTCCGAATGTGGCCAGTTTTCCCGCATGCATGACCCTTGGCATTTCGGAAGCGATAATTGGAGCGCAGATGGTAAGCTCCACATGACAAACACGGATTGATAGGTTTCTCGTGGCCTGAAGAGTCCTGAGGCGTCCTCGGTATAGACTTGGCCATTGGCGGTCGGTTCGATCGTGTCTTCTGCCGTTGAAATAATATGATTGCTTCGCTGGAAGTAGCTTTCATCAGGTCATCGTGTTGCTCACAGATCTTGCAGGCCTCGCCAAAAGTCAAATCCTTCTTCTCCAGCAACTTCCGTTGGAGAGTCAGATTATTGATGCCTGCCACCAATCAGTCACACATTTGTTTTTCCAGGCGACCACCATAGTTGCAGCGTGATGCTTGTTTTTTCAGCTGCAGGATGAAGTCACTGCAGAAAACATGATCGGTACGAATCATGGAGTTGAATTTGGCCTTTTCGTGTGCTTGGAACTCAGAGGGCAGTAAATGGTTGAGCAGCAACGACTTCAGGGACTCGTATGGTAGTTTAGCCGGAGCCTCAGGGAACGCAAGGTTTTTCAACAGGGAGTATAGGTCACAGCCGTCAACAGTAAGAAATAGGGCTGATTGACTCTGTGCACCACCTTTGCGAATACTGCACTACAGCTCGAATCGTTCAATCCATTCCTCGATCTCAGGTGGACTTACTTGCAGGTTCAGTTGCTTAATGGTTGGAAGATCCATCACACGACGCCTATTTGTAGTGACTATAGTAGTGTTAGTGGTACTCCCGAAATTCGGAACACGAACCGCGCAATAGGAATCACAGGACACGAATCTAGGATCAGCTATCACGGACTGGATTACGGAAGCACTGAACCGCAATGGCACGAGCTCGCAATATCCCACCAGTGTCCATGATGAATGTATGGCGGATGGAGTTATTAATGATGAAATCACAAGTGATGTGGCGAGATGGATGTGAACTCGTACTGGCTAGAGTTAAAGACTGTAACTCAGACAATAAATCTTTAGAGGTTTAGAGAGTCGTATGGTTTGTAAGACATAGCTTTACACTTTGCAGACAGACTGAATATGGTCAAGCTTACCACAACTGTGACACTTGGCATTACGAAATCTACCAGTTAACCGAAAATGCCTTTGACCACAACAATTGCACTTATTCCAACATTGAATCCATTCGTCAATGCAGGCCTAAAAAATGGTGCTGCTTGGTATTTTCGAGCCTTTTTCGAAAAATCGCTTTCGTTGGGATGGGGGCTGTTTGGAATTACTAGCATTGAACGACACATTGGGTTTGTCACAAACAATGGCGCGGAGGTCGTGGTACTGTTAACAGGCTGCGTTAGCTAACTGAAATGTGCAATCATGCATAAGCAAGAGCTTTTGCTGGAGTTCAGGGCACTTACTAGCAGTAAATAATCGATCACGTTACTGGATTTGTAGTTGACCTCCGAAATTACATCACGAATCTTGAGTTTAAAGCTGAAGAATAAAGTAACGTATGGGTTGGCTTCCTCCACGTGTAAGAGAATGAAATTTGGCTGGCTCAACGGTTTGGAAATTAGCTTGATGTAGATGTTTCGCAGTGAAATTTTCAAGGATTCAAATGACTACGATGTAGGCGTGTCAGGAAAAGCTAAATTCCTTACCAGGGAATATGCATCCTTTCAGAAGACCGTTACGAAATTGGCCGTTTTACGTTCCCAATTGAGTCATTTCCGCGTGATACACCAAGTCTCGAATCGTTCGAGATAATCTTTGACTTCATTTTCAATCAAATAAAGGAGTTCACAGTTTCTATGCGACCACCACAGCACCTCCCCAGAATTAGATGGTTTAGATTTTTGACTCTCATCCGAGGGGCTGATGTGCTTTGCAGTATTTCTGCATCTACAGTGTGAGTGTTCCCATTGAGCATGAGAGGTGGGCTGGAGCAATCTATTCCCAAAAGCTAGGTGATCGTGAATGTAGGTCAGCTTGCCACACTTTGAAGAACGGCAGTTGTTATTTCCAAATAGATGAACGAGCCACGCGAAGCCAAACTGGATCCCGAAATGTCAAGAAAACAACTGATCCAGCAAAGTTTCTTTGGTACTACACGACAAAAACATCAAATAAACTAATAACATGCGCACGCTAGGCGTACTGGAGTCACACTCTGGGAGCATTTTCATGGCAGGGGTGAGCAGAAACCTAAAAATGATCTCAAAACAGCTCGAGAACAAAGATCATTGGTTCCAATGAGCGTTGTTCAAAGAATCTGAATCGCAGAAATCAGTCTCAACGAAAATCGTATGCTCATCTTCACGCTGCACCCGAACGAGTCAAATGTGAGTGGTCAGGTCACAGCTAAAACCAGTTGCAAGAAAAGCAATAAATATATGTAGTCAAAGAATGTAAGTACACATTTGAAGTAGAGATTAAAACTTCGTGCGTGTGTATAGAGAGAGTGGTGTTGAACGAGTGAAAACGTCAAAATTACGACATGGGTTCGAACTTGGTTCGTGTCTAGGTTTTTAAACGGACTTTTAAGGCTCCATAAATGCAAGAGTAATCAGACTGATGGGGAACCGTAGTGATGAATATAGGCTCGTTGTTTCCGTCTCGCGTCATGAACTTGATGGCGATCGAAGCAAATTTATCAGGAGAATTAACATCTAGCAGGGCAGTCCGACTGTCCATATGCCGACTGTCCGACTGTGTATCGTGAGGTCCTGCTAGGGAACTTAGTTGAACAAAATGTCGGATGGGCATTAGAGCTGTGACCCGCACCCCGGAATTATGGAGGACAAATTAAATGACTCGAATAGCTACCGTATTCAGTGTGAATTATGGGTCAATAGAACGTCCCTTGCTTTCAGATAGCATAGGGTTCCGATAGCATATTTACAAAAGATTGGCACCGTGCAAAAAAGACCCAAACGTCACGGACTCACTTGCAAAGTGTACTTTGGTTCCTTCGAACGTTGAATACGGCCAGTCGTGACGAGCATCTGATGGGTCATATAATCGCAAGCAACTAAATTACTACTGGTTAAACCAGAAGACTTGTGATTGTGTCAGACGTGTACTGAAGTGCCGTGGCACAGGAAACGTACCGCGGTACTTTAAGGCATTGCGTTAAGGCACGAAGGCAAAAAAGACAGGCGAGCGCGATAGCATGCATGCGGATCGAAAGGGAAAAGTAAAAATCCTCGGGCGAGAGGGTAAGGTATATATCAACTGTGTAAATCAAATGCTACACTGTGTTGGTACTAAGATGGAAATGTGAACATCCAGCGAGATTGTAAAGGGGAATTTAGGTCAGGCAAACGTCTGGTATTGTTCGGATTTCACAAAATCGAGCACACTGTAGGGTGCACCTGGTAAAACAACAGCGAGTTTCGTGTCAAAGAGGACTCGTAGACAAAAGATGAAAACAGATTTTTACTACGAAACCACTGGTTACTGTGTTCTACAGAAGTAACACCTTGAAACGTATTTTCTTTGTTGATTTTGATCAAGTTACTCGAGCATCATGTTCCACAGATATTCCGTTACATGTAAAGCAGATTAACTTCTTATTGCAGCTCCACCCAGCCATCCAAAGAGGCTTACTCGGTCCACATGGAGAAAGTTTACAAAAGGATGGCAATGTTTAAAATAGTAATTGTAAACGTCAATAACTGAATGGAGTCGTAGTTTGTCGGATGATTTCCATCACAACTTCCGCTCGCTACATTGCTATGATCTAGCTTTCGGCGGGAATTTTACTCGTGATTCATTTGCAATATGTCTAGTGAACCTACCAGAATGGATTCCCCTAGCCACTCCGGAACACTGTGGATAGTTTTGTTTCGTAGGGAGGAATAGTGTAACTACCTTGGCAAATAAAAATTCCTTTTGAGTGTGAGTGGTGTTCATGTCTTACTGTACCGTTTGATTCATGGCGTTTGTATTTTCACCTTCTGCAGATTGTCAGTCAACCCTGTCCGCAAAGAACCTTCTGTCTGTCAACGGTTTCAGTCCGCACCCAGGGTCGGCCCACATCCGGTTGTCTGGTGTATTCGTTCGCGGTGGACATCCTGCCGTACACACGAGCCAAACAAACCGCATAAGCCCTCTTCATCTCATTCCGCCTCCCGTTTGCATTGTGGAATGAGTAGAAATCGTCTGCTTTATTTCTTCTATCCCAGGAAGTAAAGGAAATTTCAACCTAACTCACGGGTTACATTTTATCCTCGAGCATACTGTAACCTGATATCCAGCTTCAAAAAAGGTTTCCAGTTCCACCAGAATGATCACGAACCCGTTGTTGACGAAATGGTCTTTGACGGCGCGCAACATGGATTTGTTGACAAAACCGTCCCGTGGAAAATCGATGCGTTTTGCAAATTTTGGTTTGACTTCTAAAGGGAGTGTGAAAATGTTCGAGTCTAGCAGTCAGTCCGACACAACTTTGATAGGCCCCTTTTCAAGTCGTTACTAGCTTCTATCTACAGTGCAAATGTGCCATTTAGCTAACTAATACTTGCTTCCTGTTATTTCAGTTTTTCTTTGATGGAAATACTCGCCGTAACTCGTTTTCCGCAACCTAAGTCGTTTGGGTGCTATTTTTCAATCGTCCAAGATATCACCGTAGAAAGAACTCGTTTTGGACAAACGTCTCAAACAAACCTGTAAGATTATTCATTCGCTTGAGATAGGAGGAGCTTCGAACTCCCGTCATAGAGATCATAGGCCCTGTGAACTTTCCAAGGAGTTTGTTGTCGTGGTAAGCTACAGGCTCAGTCACTACTTGTTATGTTTACTGGGACACTGGCGAAATTGGGTGGCTCAGACACCAAAGGTCATCACAACGACTACGATCAGAGGAAAAAGGACCCCTTATAGAATATCTTACAAGGGGCTTAAACTACATCGTTCAAGTGA